AATAGTTACAATTCATGATGCCGTAGATAAGCGCCAGGTGGTAGGTAAGGGGGATGGGGGGGCAGTAGTAGTGGTAGTAGTAGTAGTAGTAGTAGTAGTAGCAGTGGCAGCAGCAGCATCAGCAGCAGCAGCAGCAGCAGCAGCTGCATGTTTAAAGTGTTGTGTTATCTTGCACATACGTATGTACATATGCATGTGCATCTATATACACACTGTACATATATATATATATATATAAACACATAAAACTTATATTCATATCCGTACATATGTGTTGACCGTGTGGACGGTTCAAGTGCTTGGCACTCAGGTATAGTCATTAAACCTGCAGTCCGGAACATGGACGTAATGTTTCCGGTTCCATCTTTGCCTATGCCTTTTGGAAGGTTTGCCGAGCCAGTCAATTCACAACTAAAAAAGAAGCCACAGTTGAAAGGTGGTTCTTGGGAAGGCTTCCCACAAAGAAAGACAACACTGGAAACAGAGTTCCTGGTACCCAAGTTTGAGAAAACCTGGCAAGACCGTTCCAAGACCCTCTACAGACCCTCTACCCTGTAAGGAACTATAGACTCCACTCCCCCCCGTGATTCCAGTGAAACCCTATAATAACACATAGAACAATAGAAGTCTTACATACAAATTTGCGACCCTGTCAGACCCTCCTAACAATTAAAGACTCCATTGCGTTGAGGCAGACGTGAACCTGCGTTTCGTTGGCACGACCTCGCCTCTTTCGCCGCACCTATGGCCTCAAGGGGTCCAAGCTGCTCAGGAAGTTGGGATTTCATGGATTTCCCAGGAAGTTGGGATCTCATGGATTTCATAGCTTAGGCTTTCTGGATTACGTTTGGTTTAAGGCTTTAGGGTTTGCAAACACCCTAACTCCAAGTACAAGGCTGTAGGTCCCAAATACACTAACATGAGGGCCTGCATCTTATTAACAAAACACTTTAGGGCTCCAGACCAAACAACCCTGGTGCAAACCCAAAGCCATGAAACGTTTGCCCCTACAACCTACCGGCAGCTCTAAAGCCTAAACTCCTACACACTAAACCCAAAAATCCCTGAACCCAGAAAGCCACGAAGCCGTAATACCCTGAACCCGAAGATCCAAAGACCCCAAGCTGGCCCAAACCGTAAGCCTTGGTCCATGCAGCCCCCATAAACCCTGTAAGCCCCAAAGCCTGAGCGACTTACGCTGCTAAGGCTCACCCCAGACCAGCTGGTCAACGTCGTCGGTGACCATGAGCCTCGATGCAGAGAAGGGTTTAGGGTCTAGGGTTTTCCGGCACGAGTGCAGCATCTTGCGCTGTCATGAGCACACAGCTGACTCTTCAGTAAAGCAGCTTCGGTATCGGTCTTTGCGTGTCGGCTTGAGCCCACATGATGGCAGGTCCTGGTCAGTCCAGTAGCAAACAATTGAAGGGTCTAGGGTTTCGGTGTTGCTTTTCGGTTTTGGGTAGTTTCCAAACTTCGGGTTGGTGTTTCGTGTTCAAAATCAAACTACACCCTTACATCCAAGACCCTGAATCCTAAATTTAGCTACCTTCCTGCAACTCTACAGGTCCAAGCAGGTGCCGTCGACATCGGCTTGGACCTGAGTGATGCGGAGCGCCAGCGTTTGGAGCCCCTTGGGCTGGTGGCTATATGCAGTTTTAGGGTGCACAGTTCTTTGTTATTTGCTCCGGCAACTTTCTGGCCCGCCCAGGTTCTTCTACCATCAGGTTGCCGGGTCGCGCACGCGCGCACGCACATGTATATGTATGTGTGTGTGTGTGTGTGTGCGTGCGTGTGTATCTTTGTCCGTGTCCGCGCCCACGTTTGCATGCGCGCATGCGTCCGCATGCGTGCGAGTTCGCTGCTTGCAGGCGGGTGCGTGCGTGCATGCTTGCCCGCGCACACCCAGGCATAATGGTATGTGAAATATTTATAACTGTATATATACATATGTATATATATATATACATATATATATATATGTATAAGTATGTATGCATGTATGCATGTACGCATGTATGCATGTAGGCGAGCTGGATCGTTCTCGCTGCGTCCGCAAGAAGATGCATGTATGTATGTATGTATGTATGTATGTATGTATGTATGTATGTATGTATGTACGTGTGCGCGTATGTGTGTATATACTGTATGCATATTTGTACACATACCAGTGAACTGCCTGTGTGAACACTCTGACCCTTAAAGTCTCATTACTATACCCTACATCCGAGACGTAGCAGGTTTGGTGTATGATCGCCTGTGATTTGGGCCTACGGCTTAGACTTGAAGGCTGAACCGTGAAGCTAGAACCCAACAAGAGCCGCAGAGCATCCCAGGTCGACCGAAGATGTCCCGCAGCTGCTCCAGCAGGCCCACTTGTGTTTTCGGTTGGGTTTAGGGCCTAGGATTGAAAGCTTCAGAACCTCAGCTTCTTGCTCAATTCAGGGGAGTTGGTGCTATAAGCTTTGATGCCTGAGTACCCCCCAATTTCCCAGCTTGTTCTGGCACTAGGAAATCTTTGTTTTTGAGGGATGCCGGTTGTTGAGGCAGGGTGGAGGTGTCGACGATGTTGTTACAAGGGACGTTGACTATTACGAGATACCTGGTATAGCATCCCAAGCTCCTTGCCCCGATTTTCAGATTCGGCCCGCCTGCTTGCTTGATGGAGAGAAGATCTGTGTGCCCCAAATTCTTTCTCGTATTTTCCCGTTGCCGAGGGGAGTTCCGAAAAAGTTTGAGGCTCATTTCTCGAGTTGGCTTTAGCTTCAGGCCTTCAGGGCTCTAGCATTTACAGACCCGGGTGCTGCGGCGCTCAATTTCCGGCGACGACCGACCTCGAAGATTTGGGAGTTTCATGCCATGCAGGACCCAAACGATATAGGTAGCGTCTACGCAGGACCTTTACTACGAGGAGTTCAATGTACAAGGTACTCCCAATTAGCAGAAACCCTCATGTGAGTTGCTAGGTCTGGGAGACAGGCGACACATCACTCCAGGCCAGCATTGGGGGATGCATTCACGGATGACCCACAGAGGATCAGGGTCTAGGGTTTATTGTATGTTAAATGTCATGTGAGTGTCGAGGTTCATCCTCGGCAGGCCCAAGTCTACGAACACATGCTAATCTTGCCAAAGACCCTGAACCCCTAGCCCTCAACCTCGCAAAAGCCGTAAAGGCCCGAAAACCTGTCTGTAGCAGGAGGGAGGAGTTCAGTGTGGTCTAGCACTCCCATGTTTTCCTTTCCACAATCATGAGTTGAGGGAGGTTTTCTTGTAAGTATCAAGTTTTTAGGGACACTGGCATCCATCCTCCATGGTATACGGTGCAGGGTGTACGATCCCGTGTTATGAATACCAGAAGGTACAAAGATTGAAACTGCAACTTTGCCGACACCGTCCTGGGAATGATGCTTCAACCTACCCAAAGGCTAGTCAACCTGGGCAACCTGTCTACAGTTTACAGACCCACCGGTGTAGCCGTAGCCATCCACAGTAGACCATGGCCAGCTTAAACCCATTGATTGCTCCCGCTTTATTCAGGCAGCTGCAGTCAAGGATGTTCAGGATTTGGTGCCAGATAGGTTTCATGGCTTCTGCGCTACGCTGAGAGTTGTAACTTTAAGCAAGCTTGTTTCGGCATACTGACCACGGGTATCGTCCGAAGGGGCCAGTTTAGGTGAGTTCAAGGCGTAAGAAACCCGGTGTATGATGAAGGTTCATGCAGGCGACGCTACAAAACCTTAAGTGTCGAACAATCCGCCACCAACAGCACACGCTAGATGCCATGAAGCCAAAGTGGCAGAATTTATTTTCGTGGGGTTGCTCATGTGTTACTGTGTTAGGCATCGGGTGGTTCGGCACATGATACGTATGAGAACGACACGGGCCCCAAACCCTCAAATCCTAAGTCCCAAACCCCCCAAGCCTCCAAGACCCACCCAAAAACCATGAAGCCCATAAAACCCTATAAGGGATTCAGAACAGCTGTCGTCCAGGACATGCTGCAGACCTCCACGTATCTCGGCATGATCCTGCTGTGGATCCCCGAAGACCCACCCTGTACAGGTTCAGGCCACCACAAAGGACATCAACATCTACGCATAGGGACCTGAATGATCCCGGTTTCCTCCTAATAGTAATTTAACAGTCTAATGTACTGCAAACCGTATTCTAAGTAATTTTCGTTCAGGTCCCCATATTTCCCAAAACCGATATCCTATGTTATATGACGGAATCCCCACGTACGTTGTCAAAGAAGGCTGCGAAGCCGAACGGGCTCCTTTGCCATTCTTTCCTGCTTTTTTCTTTTCAAAGGTCTCAGGAACTGCTATCCAGCTTTGAAGGCTGTATATGTAGAAGCCTGCACAGACTTGAGGTCGTGGTTTCGGGGTTTCAAAGGGAGGAAAACATAAACAAGGAACACCTGCAAAATAACGCTGCCAAGTATCATTGCCCTTAGGCTGTAGGGTCATTTGCCTTTTTCGCGAGAAGAGCGGCAGAGTTTTGCCTTGGAAAGGGAATCGGTGGATTACAGTCTGCTGCTCATCCGGATTTCTCAGCTCCTGACCCAGAACTACGAAAACCGATAGTTGCTGGGCACGTGGAACCCAGATCTTGAACTACATGGTTGATGACGGTCCAGCTACATAACTTACACCTACACCTCGATTCCCGATGAACCTCGTTGGGCTTTGCGGTTTATGATCTTACACGCGGCACTAGTGGTGGTAGCATGTAGTGTTGGTCGTTTGTCATCGTCGCCGTCATCCTTCGTCGTCGCTGTAGTAGTAGTAGTAGTAGTAGTAGTAGTAGGAGGAGGAGTAGTAGTAGGAGTAGTAGTAGTAGTAGTAGTAGTAGTAGTAGTAGTAGCAACAGCAGCAGCAGCCCCAAGCCCACATATTATGTTGGATGTCGAGCTTTGCCACACGAACATCTCAGTTGCTGGTACGGGTTTCAGGATGTAGGTGAAGTCGGACCCTCGACATCTCTTGAAGCTGTAGCCCCAATCTTCAGAACTGAGGCGGCTGACAGGGAACGGCCAAAATTTCTGTGGTTGGGAAGAGCCTGTTGGCGGCATCTGCTGGATGTGGGGCTCCGAGGTTTCACTGCTCCTCCGTAGCCACGGCGTTGAAAAGCGTGTGCTTGTTCAAGGTATCGTGAAGGACTGCCGGCTTTCCTGGTGCCCGGCAGGGTTTGGGGATGAGCATTCGCCATGCCAGGCCATGCCAAGCCCAGGCCCGAAGCTCCTAAGCCTCAAACCAGATACAACCGCAAACCCTGGCCCAAAACCGCAAACCCTAAACCCAGAGACTCTGACCCCGAGACCAGTACGCACCAGAGTTTCTGGTGAAGGACCCTTAACCGTCAACCCCAAGCTAAACCCTGGTGGGCGGCAGACAGCGATGAAGACTTCATGGGGGCTCTGCCATTAAGGTTGAGGCTTTAATAAAGGGAACACCGTATACCTACATCAAAGAAGGTGCTCTGAAAAATAGCTCTCTGACTTCAACGGTCTTCAGAGCCTTGAGACCGAGTTGTAAGCTGAGGGCCCCAACCCGTATCGCATGTTCAACCTAGCATGCGACTTTCGCGACTTTCCCAATCTTGAATCCCAAACTAGCCTAAGCTCTAAACCCTAAAAATCCATACACCCTAAAACCCTAACCCCTAAAAAACGAGACGCCAAACCAAAGCCCAGGATTTGCTTCTGCGCAGGAGAACTACAGTGCAAGTTCCGTGGTCGAGACATATCCCCCCTTCTGCCACCCACACTGATGCATTCAAGGCGAATCAACTCTAGCCTACACCGCGTATAGGGTTGTACCTGTACTTGCGGAAAACCTACCTTGTTTGGGAACAAAAAAAGACAACGCCACGAGACGCCCCATCAATGTATGATTTTTGAGGCTACGGCTACAGGTACAGGTCTCTTGAGGACTTGAGGTTGTTGAACATTACAGCGGCCATTGTGATTTGTCACTTGCATTGTCTTCTATGGTTACCTGCAAGGGAAGGAGCTCCGGGTCCTCAGTGTCCCTAAACCCCACAAAGCCAGATCCAAGCACCTAAACCTTCCAAGCCGCACCAGCTTACAACACCCACCCCGTCAGGGCATCTCCCATCGAGGATATTTGTCGCTCTAGACCGCATGAAACACCCACCCAAAGCCATCACTCTCTGAGGCATAGGCACTATGTCAGGAAGAGAACATCGAACTACAAGGTCTGAATATGTAATTAGTATATTGCCGGTACTCAAATCTCCTTTGAATCCTCTGCGCTCTGTATTAGATGGTGTTGCGTGCAGGACAGTGTGCTGCCGCATGCCTTTTGATCCTTTCTTCGTGCTCAGCCTAAACCCTAAAGGCTGGAACCTATGTGCTTAACCTCATAGCCTAGAACATTTGGTTGATGCCGGTTTTGCCTGCATCAGCAGGTTCCGGTGGACCCAACGGAAGTCTTAAGCCCCCACTGCAGCCTTTTTTTTTTTTTTTTTTT